GCCCTGACTCACTAGAGACCCTTCATTTCCAACGTCTACATACACCCTTGGGCCGATTCCTCAAATGGACCAAAACGACTCAGCACAATGCGGAGGGGATTCCTCCCAATGCGAAATTATACCTCGCCCAATGCCAACTCCTCGACCTTCCCCCTGAACTTCGTCTAGACCTTCCAACACCCCCCCTTGTCTTAGAGGCAGGCAAGGGAGATGTATACGATACGAATATATGGATGGGCGTCCCACCCACGTACACACCCCTCCACCGAGACCCTAATCCGAATCTGTTTGTCCAGATGGCTGGACGTAAAATCGTCCGACTGTATGCCCCAGACACCGGACTAGTGGTTTTTGAGCGGGTTAGGGAGTCAATTTTACGACGACGACAGAAGAAGGACGCAAATGCAAATATAGGTGGGATAACCGTGGGCGACGCCAAATTCCGTGGAGAGGAGATGATGCAAGGGTTGGAAAAGGGATTGCTGGAAAGAGAGGTGTGGGGGGATACTATGGAAATCGGGGTTGATGGAGAAGGCACAGAAGACACTACGGAAATCAGGGAAGGATTCGAAGCCCATCTGAATGCTGGAGATGGGATGTTTATACCGATGGGCTGGTGGCATAGCATTAAGGGGGTGGGTGAGGGCATCACAGCTTCGGTAAGCTGCTCCTCCCTGTCCAGTATGGTCTTTTATAGGCCATCATATTCAGGGTTTAGCATGAGATAACTTCGCTTTATGGACTCCCCAGTTTGCTAATTTTTAACGAAATACAATAGGTCAACTGGTGGTTTCGATGACAATGGTTCTCTTGTCACATTTGTGCCTTGGTTAGTCACACTAGCGTACCAGCGGATTTAATGAGTGATATATTTATAAATAACATCTACGAAATCTTGTGGGCAATCCGGAATTCGAAACAGAGCCGTAATATAATGTTTATTCATCGTAAGTATCTAACTATCTGACTGAACACTGGATATCTACCACCCAAAGGATTCTCCAAATCCCAGAGAAGGAAGTGAAAAAAATAAAAAACTAAAAAACTAAAAAACTAAAAAGCATCAATTTTCGACATAAGCATATTTCAATGGCGCAAATTCATCCATCCAAATAGATCTAGAGAGCGTTCTTGATTCATTATATAGGAAATTAATGGTGATATCGACTGCATTTAGAAATATTCAAACCAAGAATGTGATACGTCGCTCCAGCGCCCCGCAACAGACCCTCGTTTGCGTCAATAACAGAGACTGAGAAAAGAGACCGATGAGGGACTGAGTTTTAGATAGAATGGCATACGACGATGTGCTACTCGAATAGCTTGTTGAAATACTTGTCGATCCGATTTCTGTTTTCAAGAAGATTGTCAACTTGCCAAGGTTATGCCGAGGTATCGTTTAGTCCCCTCCCTACTTTATCTCCAAAAGGAGACCGCGGATAAATCCAAGACACCCCCCCCCCCCCCCCCAAAAAAAAAAAAAAAAAAAAAAAAAAAAAACCTACCTCGGTGGAGTCGGAACGAAGTTTTTCGTATACTCATCAATCTCCGCGACATCCTTGAATAAGTCCACTTCATGGGGCTTAAACCATTTAGTTTTCTTGGACAGTTTCCACCCAATAAAAAGCACTGGACATAACCCAATCATCGTATAGGAGAATAGGAACGTTGGTATGCTCCAGTTCCCAGGTAAAAATACTGTATATCCCCCTACAAAAGCCATGGTCAACGTCCCTGCGCAAGCATAATATGCAAGATAGGGTTGGAAGAAACCCTTGTACGGAAGCGAGTCGCGCGAAACACCCTGCGCGTCAAGAGCCTTCATGAATCGAGTGTACGTAAAAGCTACTGCGAAGAAATTGAGAAGCTGCGAAGCAGTCACGAGGGATACGAACCAATCCAACACGACGGATGCTTCGTTAGAGACCTGCAGGAAGGATAGGAGCGCGATAAGTAAGACAAGTGAGACGCAGTAGATTGGCACACCATTCCTGTTGCATTTGGTGAAGATGCGAGGTGCTTTGCCTTCAAGGGCGAGACCGAACAAGCTGCGGCTGGCGCAGTAGACGTAGGAGTTTCCTGCACTGAATGCCGCCCCGAGCACCATTGCGTTGACGATATGTGGGAGAACTTTGATCTGCAACCTGTCCATGGCAACAACATAGGGGGACGCAGCAGCTCCTGGCAAACCTTTTTTGAAGGCGTCTGACATTGTCGTGTCGTTGTAGGGAACAACGATTCCCACGCATAAGCTGCCCAAGACGAAAAATGCGGTTAACCTATAGAAGACGGCGTTGAAAGCGCGAGGCAAGACATAACGTGGATTTTCTGTTTCTCCAGCAGCCATTGATACATAATCTGGCCCGGCAATTGTGAACGAGGCCTTGTGGATGGGATGATAAGTTAACGGATTCAGAGCTCTTACATCAAAGGGGACATATGGACTAACTTACCAGGATCATACATTGCAGGAAGCCCAAGAACCGGCCGAGGTCACCAGTTTTATAGAACTCAGCAAAAGCACCAGGGTCGCGCCAGTGTCGGAATCCATATCGATCACCAAGTGGATTCCCCCCAAGCATGGTGACGAAAGTAAAGATGATGAGGCCGATGATGAGAAGTGCTTTACCCAACGCTAACCAGAATTCAGACTCGCCATACCACTTTACAGCGAAAAAATTGATGGCACTATTAGAATACTTAGCATCCAATTGACCCCAGAATTCTTCCATGACGAGGGTCTCCAGGATATGTCACACGTGGGAAGGCATACCCGTATAACACTAGCACAATGGTAATTATACCAGCGGCGGGGACGATATCGCTCCAGTAATGGATAATGACATTGCAGGCCACGATCTCAAAAGGAACCATTGCTGCCTCGAATACAAAGAAGTTGTATCCAGTAGCCACACCGAAAGCTTCATCGACATAGCGACCCGCGAACCGAATAAACGGCGAAGATATAGGAAGATAAGTGACCATCTCTGCCATGGCTTTAATTGTCAACCAGCGGGAGCAGTGAAAATGGTTCCCTAAACTTTAGCTAAACTCTTGCGAAAATACGTATATTATAAATATATGAAATGAATAGGAGACCAAAAAATAAAAATTAGCATAGAGGAAGGCGACGAATAGCAATCCGAATCATATCAACTGTGATCCTCGTGAGGATGTTGGCGGTCATAAAATGTCGCATTGGGGCTTCCATTTTTTCAGGCATGTATGGCATAACAGAAAGCGCTCTAGGCAGGTACAGTACAAAAGCCTTTATTTCCGTGCCAGGTGGGAATGGGAACATCACGTACGTAGAACGCATAGGTTGAAAGGCATCAAAAGCTTCCGGGAAGATCTTACATATGGTGACCGCTAGGATGAAAGAAGACCTATTGTAGAAATGGCCATGAGACTCATATTTATGAGATATCGTTAACAAGGGGGAACATAATAAATGCACGAGAAATTTCGTGCGTCATTTCGTTTGATTTCTTCCAACCCTATGACAACCTATGATTCCCTTTTCGCTGCAGAGAGATATTGGAGGCAAGCTTTCTCGCCACCTAGGTGTCATTTTATATACCCTGATTTCCCCTCTCTCGCCCTGGATTTCAATACTAAACCTCCCATGCCAACGAAAAAAACCTACCTTTTACTCCAATGTTCCTCTCTCCTGGTTTGTTTCCCTTGCCTTTTCTGAGAAGCTATCCGATACACCAACAATAAAAAAAGAAAAGAAGAGTGGAGGCAGCATTTTAAAGGGGACCTGTGATTAAAGAGCAGGAGAAAATGGGTAGGCTTACCACAACGTGAAGGAAAGGAATAAACTTCCTGGACCACCATTCATCAACCCCTTTCCAATCTGTACATACAGTGCCGTTCCAATTGTGCCTCCAATTCCAATCAGCTGGATATGCCGCGGCTTTAGTTTGCGGTGGGTTTGGTCCTTGGAGGGCTTCATGGACTGGCCCTCATCGACGGAAGAGTCATCGTTTGCGACAGAGGACACAAGCTGGAGGAAGTCGGTGTAGGGCCGTTTGCGCAGTTCCCCGGATGGGAACTTTTCGAGATCCGCACCTCTGGCTACAGGTTGCGCAGTGTTTTCTAGAAGGCTCATATTGCTGTACTACCGACAACTGGCCAGAGATGGGAGAGGGCGAAAGGTGAAATTATGCCGTGGCGAGGGAGGTAGCGGCGAAGCGTCGGAATGAAGAAGAACAAAGATGTAATTCCTTTCCAATCTTACATGTGCTGCAAGCTTTGAGCATAGTCCGTGTCTGTCAGAAGGATCGAAACTGACAAGAAGCCGAGTTAGAGTGCATGGGGAAGGGGTGAGATAAATAATTTTCACGTTCCCCTCAAAATAAAAACAAAACCAAAAACCAAAAGCGCGAATGCCGACACCTCGGTCAACGGGTGGGACCGTTGAATTAACATCGGCCCCACCGATCCCAGGCGGAGGGGATTGGCCATCGGGCTCGGCCAAATTGGCAAACATCCCCAAGATCCACAGATTTTTTTCTTTTCGGGACAGACGACCCGTAGAGCTTCCGCCGTAGCGAATATG